ATTATTATTATTATTATTATTATTATTATTATTATTATTATTATTGTTATTATTATTATTATTGTTATTATTATTATTATTATTATTATCGTAATTATAATTATTATTGTTTTATCCAAAAATTCAATTAAATTCTGGCTAAAAATAAAGCTTAAAATTGATTCTGGCTAAAAGCTATTATTGTTATTGTTCTTGTTTAAAAATAAAGCAAAATTTCGGCCAAAAATGAAATTTAAATTCAGTTTCATTAAAAAATTAATATTGTTGGTTTACTTGCAAATGAAATGAAAGTCTGATCAAAAATAAGATTGGAATTTAGTTTCGATTAAAAATTATTATTATTACTATTATTGCTAATTATTATTAATAATTATTATTATTATCATCATCATCATTTTATTCAAAAACAAACTTAGTGCCTGGCTTTAATTTTGAATAAAAATTGTTTTTGATTTAACATGTGTAATTTTTTTTCCCTTATAAAAATAAAATAAAATGAAAGAAGAGAAGAAATGAAAGAAGGCATTCCAAGTGCAAAGTGATAGACTTAACTACAACTGCTAATCCTAATACCCGCTATTACACCGAGCTTACATAGCATTATTATATCATTAGGCTGTTATCATCCCTAGACTTAGTTAATAATATTATATTAGGCTTGAATGGAATTATGATCTTTCTGGTGTGTAATTATCCGCGGAACAATCAATACAAATCGATTTGGAAAGCAAATCGATTTTGAATGATTTCTTCATTTTAAATTTTGAATAAAGAATACTACGAGTACAGCATGGTAACCCGGGATTTCTCTATGAAAGGACTGCATCCGAGAGAAGTACCCAAAGAAAGGAAAGCATTACCCATGGGTAATTATCTCAACCACACGGTTCGATTTTCTTGGTTCGAAGTTAGCATTGTCAATTTGTGTCTCAATGTTATGCGGCCCTAAAGGCGGGCCGTATTTTGCGAATGTGGAGTGATGGCCGTGACTTTTTCATGTTTTGAGTTTTTGTTTGTTTATCGTTTTTGTCATTCCTTTCAATTTTCAGTTAAGCTTTGATTGGGATTTTTGTTATTAGTATGAGTAAATTTCTTAATATTGGTGGTGAAATTCGTTTGTTTTTGTAAAGTAATTAATCACTTCCAGTCAATCAAAGTGATTTTAATTGATTGATTAATTAACGTTAATTTGTTTTAAGCGAACACTGTGTTTGCCTTAAACAAAATGCCACAAAAAAGTTAGCTATAGTAAAGTCTTTGCCTTGGTAATATTTCTTACTAAGTTTGGTAAGATATAATTATTGAGAAATTTTGTTGAATTGCTAAGATCGAAAATCTGTTTCGTTCACTTTTTTTTTTCAAATTAAATTTTAAGCATTTCTTTTTTTACTGAAATTTACATTTTCATCACTGGCAAAACTTATCATTTCTCATTTGTACTGATTGTTTAATTCAAAGAATTAATGGGAAATTTGAAACAAATTACTTAATACATCTTCTCATTTTAGCATACATATGTTCCAATGGAAATTCTATAGTTGGTATCAGTACTGGCCCCGAGGGTATATTCCGGAAAAAATTCATTAATCATATCGAAGTATACTTTCAAAGGAATTAGATAATTGATATTACGTAAATGCAAAATGGTGTACTTTCAAAATGGGCAAAATGCTTGCTTGGTATGGAGAACACTAGAGGAATTTTCGTATAAAAATTGGAAAGAATGTATTTTTGGTTGTACTATAAGCTAATATAGTAGTAGAAAAATATTCTGAAAAAAGAGAATTTTTTTTTGAAAAAATAAGATTAGTAATGGTGATTTGATGTGAATTGATTTTATTTCATATTCTTTCTCTTATTTTCTTCTTTTTTTCCATTCCTTTTACCTTTGAAACTTTCTATTTTTATTAGATGAGATTTTTTCCTTTACTCGTGGAAAAATGGAAATAGAAATATATTTCATTTTATCGATTGATATAAAATATCGTATTATTTCATTTCATCCCTTCATATAATTATTATCTTTGTTTTCAAATTTTTTTTCCGGAAATTATCGTGTTTTTTTTTTCAAGAAAAAACTGACGAATTTTTACAATATATTTAATTTTTAGATTAATTTCAGGATGAATGATAATGAATGTTGTCGAATATAATGTAAGAAATAACTACTGGAATATGAAATTTAATAGAAATAAGGAAATGATATATACTTTAGTCACGTTAATATCTCTTCCCGTTTTATCTTTTCATATCAGATAAAGGAATATATGATATAGAAAGAAAAGGAAGAGTATGAAATGATAGAAGAAAGGGAAGATTTGGGAATATTTGCTTATGTACTGGATCAGTTGAATGAATTCATAGTTAAATGAATAATCCGCCATATCTGGTTAGGTAACTTGTTTGTTCTATCAGCTAGACAAATTATCATAAAAATGGACCCAATTATAGCTTGGATAAAGTTTTATCCCTGTTAAACTGAGGTATATCTTATTTTTACTTCAATTGTTACAACTATTTCTCACCTTAATAGTACAGGTGTACTTATACAAAAGTTGCTATTGAAATTATTATTCATACATACCAAAAATTCTTCATTTCAATACCACTTGTATGAATCGTTTAGTTTTCACCATCTTTTGTCGTTTTTTTGTTTGCTTTTTTTTTTCATCCTTTCATTTATTACGTTTGTGAAATTTACTCTAACTTCATCATATCTTACCTATTTACCGATGTAATCATTCTGTTTCATTTTATTAATCCGATTGTCGACTTTAAATCCATTACAGTCCATTCCACTTTTTTTTTTTTTTTTTTTGTAGTTTCTAGCAGGAAAAGAAAGAGGAAATTTGTTTTGAAAGATTACGTTTTATTCGCAGACAGAAGTCTCAAATATGTTTGAGATATCCGGTGTTATGGTCGAAAATTGCTTAAAGATAACTGCGATGATAATTTAAAGATAATTTAAATAATTGTAATTCATGAACTCGGTAAAAAAAAAAAAGAAAAAAAAACGAACTAAAATATATGAATTTGATTTAGATGATCGATTTTTATGAATCTGCTTCTGATGCTGGAATAAATGAATGTAATCGTTGATATAAATAGTGTGTTATATTCGATTGCTGTATCCGATGTTTGGGATGCATGAATATCTTCAATTTTTTTCAATATTAAATTTGCGGATATTGTTGATATTATTCCATGCCTAACGTTGATCGATCAATATCGCCCTCTGCTCAAGCGTTTATTTTTTTTTTTTGTTTGTATCTAGCAGGATTTCATTTATTACTTTTTCAGGTTAACACTGTTTATGTGTATATGTATGTGTGCTTTTTTTTGTGGAGGAAGCTGTTTGGGACAACGGTAATATCTCTGAATATACCATTCGATTCTAAGAAAGTTGCTTCATCCTTTCTTGAGCACTTTTTGTCCTACCTGATTCATAACCTCATCATCAATCGATCGATACTCTTTCAGAATCCTATTTCGCTTTGTTATTGCAGAGTAAGTTTCGTTTTTTTTTTGTATAGAATTACAACAATTTCAGATCTGAAATTCACGAGATGAATAAAGTTATATGGTTATGGAGTATGTTGTTAGCAGGAAGGAATGTAGTATTTATTACTGATAAGTGTTGAGTGTTGAAGTTTTATGACAAAGCTTTTAATAAATGATAAAGTTTTATTTTATAAAAACAAATAGACATTGTTAATGAAAGGAAAAAAAAAGATGTAGCATTGGTGTATAAAAGGATAAGAGCAAAGTTATATGAATGAGAATATAACATTTTTTGTATGAGTAAAAATGTATGAGGATGTTTTTTTTCTTTTCTTTTTTTTTTTTAAATAAATAAGAGGAAAAGGTACATTCTAAATGAATGAGTGAGAAATGGAAAAGTTCTCAAGAGATCAGTAATATCAAAGTGTAAAATGGACTTTATTAATAAACTTTATTTCCATTTTTCTCTTAAAATTTTCTTTTTTATGAATTTCATTGGCTCATGTACTGTTAATAGCTACTTATTGACTCGACTTTATATATGTA